AGAAAATATTTGGAAAGATATGGTGAATATTTACTAACCATATTTCCTAGATTTTAGGATATTTTCGCAGAATATATATTCTACCACCCATAGACAAAAGGAAAAAACTGGAAGATGAATTCTACGAATGGTGGATTATAGTAGTTACGGTAGAATATATATTCCAAAAATTGGTAGAATACAGAACAAACATTAGAACATGTACTCTACCAAATCAATTAAATCGTAGAATATAGAGTAACGAGTAGAACCTATATTCTACGGGTGCGTAGATATATCAATAATCCGTAGAACCTATATTCAAAACACAGTAGACTAAGACCAATTTGTACAATATATATTCTACTACCCCGTAGACGGTAGAATATGATTTCTGGAAAAGGTAGAACAGAAAATTATTTTCAATTCTAACCATATTTTCAAAATCAAAAAAATATACCTATATTTTTTCCAGTGACTCTTTTATTGTTTTGAATTTTCCTAATTTTTTTTTGCTGTTAAAACTATTTTTAATGATTTATTAGATATGTCAAAAGGGTAAATTAGGTAAAAATAGAGAAAAGGGTAGTAGGACAAAATCAAATCAAATTTGACCCATTTACACAATTTTCCCGAGTTTTTTTTTGTCACACATTCATTGTAAGTTTTCGGAATATTAATTAGAGCATATAAAAATCCATGACCGCTGGATTTGTTTGAATGCGGGCTTTAAAAGATGCACCGCATTTTGGTCATTCAAAAATATTAACAGAAATTTAGTAAGTATGGTTCCTGAGTACATGATGAATGGAGGATAGTTGGCAAACAAAATTAAAGGAATGAAAAAGCTGGTCCAATCAAACCTATAAAAGTTTAAATAACTGAATTTAAATAATTTAATTAAATGAGTTTGTTGTCTTGTCTTACAAAACTCGAAATGCATGCACAAGACAGTCCTTTATGCTTACATATAGAGACTCATTATTACATCTAATGAGTTTGTTGTCTTGTCTTAAAATATTCGTAACTCTTGGATGGGATCTTATACTCGGTACAAAATCATCTATGCACCCATGGATTGGCCTATATCCATTATCCGATCAGTGGGCGATTAAAATACCTACAAAATTTGG